TTTTATTTTTAATAATTAAGATTTATTATAATTTTTTAAATAAAAAATATTATTTTTAATAAAATTTAACTTTTAAAAATAAATAGATAAATAATAAAAATTTTATATAAATATAATATAAAAATATATACAAAAATAAAATTTACCTTACTAATTACTATAAAAAATGATAATAATTACTTCCTAACATACACTAAAAAGCACATGAAACAACTTAACAACTTTTTAACTTTCTTTATACGTCTCTTATTTGAACTTTTTATAAAAAACGAAATTAATATCTAAGAAAATTTAAATAAGAATTATTATAAAACTTAAGCATTTTTCATAAAATATTTTTAATTATTTTTTCAATAAAAATACTCCCGAAAAAATTTACCATTAATCGAAGTATCAAACACACCGAAAGTGTACACTCATTTCCCTTACATCCACTTTTATCTCCCCTCACGTTCTCTTTACTTCTTTTATCTCTGTATTTCCCGCCGCGCTACATCCACTAAACTTTCATTTCCCAGAAAATTTGCGGGAAGCTTTTGAGCAGCCCGAGGGACTCATACTTGATGGGAAAATACAGATAGGCTGGGAACCTATATGGTTTGCAGTGGCATGGTCTATTTGAAAAGCTAAAAATGAAAAGCAATTTAATGGTGGCACGGTAGATGCTGACAAAATACTTGAGTCTGTGCGAGTAAAGACATATCAGTGGGTCCAAAATAGAGGAAAAGTAAGGCCTTTCTTTGCGTCAGACTGGATCACTACTCAAGGACATGTGTTAACAGCTGAATAAATGTAGGCAGTTGGAACTTGGTTAAAAGTCCGCAAGTAAATTGAGTAACTGATTATTGCTTTAATTTGCATACGAGATTGAATATCTCGTGTACTCGTTTAATAAAATTTTATCATTCAAAAACAATGTTAAAAAAAAAAATTATCATTAAAAAAAACAAAAACTTCTTTTACCTTTATATACCCCCATACATCATGATTTTCGTCTCACTTCAACCTCAGCTCTCTCCTTCCTTCAGATCCCATGATTTTCAGTTCCTCTTAGCCTGGCCCTTACTAAACTCCCCCCTCACCTACAGATTTTTCTTCTTTTTGCTCTTTTCGATAGCTTTTGTTCTTTCTCTCTGTAGAACTAATTACCTGCGCATTTCCACATCTTGTTTCGCTTCGGATCAAATCAATCGAGGTCAGTAATAGCATCTTCTCTTCGTGTTCCCCTTTTACATTTCCTGTTCTATTTTAAGCATTGTATGATTCTTTCTTTTGCAAGCTCAAAATTGCACCTAAAAGAAGTCTAAGATTTCTACTCTTAGGTGCCGGCCGGTACACTAATTTTTGTCCGGTAAGCCATTTCTGAGCCAGTATGACCAAAAAGTTTAGCGATGCAAAACCAGTGTTATAATGTACCGGTTTAATAGAAGACCGATAGGTACAAGACAGTATTAGATAGTCATCTATGAGATCCCTAGAGAGTTCTTTTTTTCTTAAGATTAGTGTTTGTTTGTGGGTTCTGAAAAATATTAGGAAAAAATATTTTAAAATTATAATATTTATTAAAATAAGTACTTTTGTTTCAAAATAACTCTTAATTTTTAACTTTTAATTTATCTTAAATTAGTAATTATTTTTTATTTTTTAAATAGATAAATATTTTTTATTTCAATTTATAATTATTTATATGCTTTAATTTATATTTAATCATTCAATAACAAAAAATTTCTCTTTATTTCTATTTTTTAAGGTATTATTGATTAATATAAATATTGTTCTCAAATTTTAATTAAAAGAAAAATCAAAAAGCTCTAATCTTAACACCGCAAATACTAAAACTCTAATAATGTGTCTAAACTCCAGAAATTTAAACTTAATACAATTAAATCTGAATTCTTGATGAAGTTCGAGAACTAAAAAATAGTTTTAAAAAGCCGTGTGACCAAAACAAGTTTAACGGCTTGAATGGCAATTTAAAGATAGTAATTAATAATTGTCTAAATCACTATTGGATAAGTTAGGATAAGTTGATGGTTAATTTAATTATTTTCAAATTTCATAAACTAAGTATTGGGTAAAATCTTTTTATTCAATCATTTAAAACTAGCAATAATAGTCAAGATCCAAAACCTTTAATAAAGGGTGTGGTTATTGCCGCACCCAAACTTGTTAATGCCACAGTTTATTCTTTATATGGATTATTTTACTCTTTATAATTTATGCCTCCTTAAAATTGTATTTTAGAAATTTCAGGACAAAAAAAAAAAAAAACTAAACTGAATGGAGTCCAGGCCATCGTGCGTCTCCTCAAAGGCAGAGATTAGCTTTGTTTCTTGCACTCGGTTTTTGGGCTGTGTTGTTTCTTCCTCTCTTAACCTCCATTTTATCACTCTTTGCCTCTATTGTAAATATCCTTTTGCCTTTTCCCTTTCTTTACGGCCAATTGCTTTTATTTTGCCTGGGAATTTGGCTCTTTTTTTTTTTTCGGTGCTGTTGGTCTTTGATTTGGCTATATTTTCTCTCAATTTCAGCATCGTCTTCCTATATTTGGTTTTTCTAATCATCATTTGCTTCTATTACATCAAGTCTCGCCATATCCGTCATCTTCTTCATCAAAAACCCAGCTTCATCGCGTCTCACCACTTCAATATATTTGCTGATTTTGTGTTTTGAAGCAAGGGATGATGAAGGAAAAGAAAAAGAAAAACTATTTTCAGTTCTTTTTCTTAGATCTTGTAAGACAGCAAATTCTTTTCGATAACTGAAAATAAAATCTTTGATTCAATGTTAAATAATATAAAAGAAACTTTTTAAACTAATTTCGAAATGAAAAGAAATGAATGAGATTCTATATAATATTTAATTGAAGAAATGGAGAACAAAATTTCAAGTTCGCCCTTGAGGAACTACAATAGAGTATCCGGGAGAGGAAGATCGGTGGACTCCATTTATTTTTGTTTAATTTACTTGGATCTCTTTTTTGTTATTTGATAATATGATTTTAACTTGTTCTGATTAATATAATTTTAATAGGTTATGGTTATTGTAAGGGGAAAATAGTCTACACAAAGACTAATGCTGTGGTATTAACAAATTTGGGTGTGGCAATAGTGCCACCCTTTAATAAATTGAAAAAACCACGTAACATAGCATTTTACAAGAAGTTATCAATAGATTGGACTTTTTTAAACTTTATTCAGCTAAACGTTAGGCTTGAGATTGGATAAAGTTATATTATTCAATTCAGCTAAACGTTAGGCTTGGGATTGGATAAAGTTATTTTATTCACTTCGCTGAACGTTAATTTCTTGAAGAAAGTGCTCCTTGCAGTACAGGCACAGCCTTCTGAAATTGCGGATTTTATTGGGGCGAGTGGCTGATTTTCCCTTCTCTACAGGAAACTGCGCGGAAGGTGCAGCATGTTGGATGTTACAGTAACCTATGGATTCCAGGACAAAGGGTACCTATAACTTTTATTTTTCATCTGTCAGAAATAATATTGAATTTAAGACTCGTTTTGTATAATGATTTTTGGTATACTGATTTTTGAGGAGCGATTAATAATTTTACTTAAATCATTAAATATAAATATTTAGTAAATTTATATATTTGAAATTGTTATAAATAAAATATTCGGTAAAATTTTTATGTAGCAGTTTGAGATTAGTGGATAACGGTTAAGATTTAATTTGTTATTTTATTTTATTTTATTTTATTTTTTGTACATTCTGCGACTTCAGATTGATTTCCATACTGTTTCATTTGTTCTGCATTTTGATTTTTGAGCTGGGATTATATGGTCATTTAGGATATCTAGCCTTTACCAAAAATAAAAAACAAATAATAAATAAAATGGCAAGACAACAGAGTTGATTAAACTTAATAGAAATTTAGAATAATGTCCTTTGCTTTGGAGATTGATTGACAGACATGTTGAGTATGATTTGTCCATAGAGAATTCAATGCACTTGGTCTTACTTGTCTTGTCTATTTCTTTTTACTTAGTCTAATAACAACTCTAAAATTTTCTTCTCTTTTTTTACCCTTAATTTTCAAATTTCATTTTATTTTCAATTTTGAGTGGATTGTCAACAAACTTGTATCTTAAGGTCTGACTTCTATTTTTTTATATAAAAGTTAGTTTTTTTATGTATAACAATTACTATTACTAAATGTTCTGCTAGGAATTTTTTGGAAGGGAGAGAACTACAGTGCTAACATCTGAATTCAAGAAGATTAAGACCGAATGATTTCGAGGAAAAAGGTACTTTATAGTTTGCCTAAATGTTTTTAATCTTTTATTGTTGTTACTATCTAAATGTTTTGTTTACTCGAGACTATACAAAACTAGGTTTAAAATAAGGAGGGCCTCTCAACATGAGGGCTTCCTTCCTTTAAGAGTCCTTTTTATAATTTATTATAGTTTAATATAATATAGATTTTAAAAAATTAAAATTATTATAATTATAATATTATATAAAATTATAATTTTACAAGATGTGTTATAATATAATTACTTTTTTTCATTGAAAAACTTATCTGTAATATTATGCTCATATGCTCATTCA